ATTTAAAAAAAAAAAAGCAAAAAAAACTGCTTCCCAAACATCAGCATCAACCAAACCGAAAATATGATACATACTCAGATCAAAGCATCATTCAATCACTTAGCCAACAAATACTACAAATCAGGACCAGGACAGAAATTCTTGAGCACAGCCAAATATACCCGTACACCACTCAACTTCAGATAGAGTACACCAGTTGAGATGCTTGCCGTCGATTTAGATATATATCAACCCGATTTTTGAGAACTCACTTCTGGATAACGCGCCATTGGTACCTCGAGTCCCTGCCCGCTAAGCAGACGACGTCAAACCTCCACCGTCAGAGCCCGATGGCCCCTGTCAGCCGTTGATGTCCCGAAACGACACACCATACCGTCAGCCACAAGTCGAGCCATCGGCCCAAACCCGCTAATGACCACCCTCGATCGAAACTCCCTCAGTCTCCGGCCACCGCAAGCAAACCCCAGCAACTCGCCGTGGCGTACCCCTCGAGCAGACCACCCGCAACACGCGCGAACAGAACACCACCACCGCTTTTGTTCGTCACCCTCGCAAAATACTCACTCCACCCACGATCCACGACGAAACAGCTATTAGGATTGAGTGGAAAAAATGACAATCTTCCAACTAATACAACCAACTCACAAAATTCTCAACTCACTCCACATTTTCCAACCAAAACACATATTTTCCAACCAATTTTCCTAATTTTCTTACTTTCCTACACCAACTTGGAGCCATCATCTTGCTATATATATGTGTATGTTGCAAGGAGAAAGGATACACAAGAGAAGAGAAAAATACAGTAAAGAAGAGAAGGAAAAGGGAGAAGAAAAGAACGAAGAAAAAATAGAAAAAAAAAATATTGGTGAGAAAAAATTATCATATAGATATTTTTATTTCTATTTTTAAGTGCTCAATTCTCGACTCCGATCCAGTTCGCCGGAGCTCGTAAATCTGGTGTGCTACAGATTTAGAGACGTTTGCCATTGTATCTTTGGGGAAGTTACGCCTGAACCGTTAGCTGCCACACGGGGCGTATTCTTCTTGCGGAAAGAGTTTTACTCGCCTCGGCTACAATCTTTCTGTTTTTAAGTTGTAATTTAATTTATTTTTTTTTCAGTTCTATTGTAATTTTCTATTTTTAGATTATTTGTAAGAACTTAAAATTACATATCAGTTCGTAGGATTCCCGTGTATTTTTAAATCCGGTTTTAACAGTCGCAAGAAGAATAAATTGACCTACTGAACTGATGGCATCCACCGGAGAAGGTTCTCAACAACAACATCCGGTCAACCCTGTTGTTCATCATCATGTACCTGCTGTCCATGTACCTACTGCTGAGAAGCCGGAAAAATTCAACGGGCTTGACTTCAAAAGATGGCAACAAAAGATGCATTTTTACCAGACCACTTTGGGTTTGGTTAAGTACCTGAAGGACGAAACCCCTGTTATTGCTGAAAACGAGACCAATGTTGAACTGCGCGCAGCGTACGATGCTTGGGGGCAAGGTGATTACCTTTGCCGTAACTATGTCCTTAATGGACTTAGTAATGAGTTGTACAATGTGTACAACTCTGTTGGTTCTGCCAAAGAGCTTTGGGCTGTTTTGGAGAAGAAGTACGAGACTGAGGATGCCGGGGCGAAGAAATTCGTCATCGGCAAGTTTCTTGACTTCAATATAGTCGACTCGAAGACCGTCGTGTCCCAAGTGCAAGAGTTTCAACATATCTTGCACGACATCCATGCTGAGGGAATGTCTCTGAGCAAGCCATTCCAAGTTGCGGCTGTGATTGAAAAGCTGCCGCCGGGTTGGAAAGGTTTCAAGAACTACCTCAAGCATAAGAGGAAGGAAATGAGTCTTGAAGACTTGGTGGTACGTCTTCGTATTGAGGAAGACAATCGTAATTTATCGGGAAAAATTCTGATGATGGAGGCTCGTGCTAACTTGCTAGAGTAAGGAAATTCGAGCAAGAGGAAGTCCCTTGACAAAGGAAAGAAGCCAAACAAGGTTTGGAAGTTTACCGGCACTTGCTATAACTGTGGAAAGCCGAACCATATGGCTAAAGACTGCAAGAGGCCAAAGAAAGGTAAACCGAGTGCCCTTGTGGCTGAACACGGCCCTGTGCTGGGTGAACTGACCGACTTTGATATGTCGGCAGTGGTGTTTGAAGCCAATATGGTGGATAACCCAAGGGAGTGGTACATCGATACTGGTGCCTCTCGTCATGTGTGTTCCGATAAGGAGGTGTTCTCTGAATACACTCCTGCTAAGAGTCGGAAACTTCACCTGGCAAATTTCTCCACGGCTGATGTGGCTGGAGTGGGCACTGTGGTGCTGAAGCTGACTTCTGGAAAGGAGTTGAAGCTTAAGGATGTTATGCATGTCCCAGACATCCGCAAGAATTTGGTCTTCGGATCTCTTCTTGTTGAGCATGGATTTAGGTTGGTGTTTGATGCTAAGAAATTTGTTCTTAGCAAGTTTGGAACATTCCTTGGTCGTGGCTATCTCGACAAGGGTTTGTTCAAAATGAATGTAATGGCCGTGAGTCGTGTAACCGTTGATAATGAAAAGCCTATTTCTGTTTATACCGTAGAGTGCTCTGATTTATGGCATATTAGATTGGGACATGTAAATCTAAATGCAATTAAACAGTTGATGAATTTAGAATTAATTTCTAATTCTAAAATTGAATCACATAAAAAATGTGAAATTTGTAGTGAAGCAAAAATGGCTAAGTTGCCTTTTCACTCAGTGGAAAGGAGTACTGAACCATTAGGCTTGATCCATACTGATGTATGTGATATGAAAAGTGTGCAAACAAGAACGGGTAAAAAGTATTTTGTAACTTTTATCGATGATTGCACAAGGTTTTGCTAATTATATTTGTTAAGAAGCAAAGACGAGGCTGTGGAAGTGTTTAAAATCTATAATACCGAAGTTGAAAATCAACTCGACAAAAGGATTAAAATAATCCGAAGTGATAGGGGTGGGGAGTATGTAACTCCTTTTGAACAAATATGTTCTGAATATGGCATAACTCATCAAACGACGGCCACTTATTCTCCACAGTCGAACGGTGTTGCTGAACGCAAGAACCGTACGTTAAAAGAAATGATGAATTCCATGTTGATAAATTCGGGACTACCTCAAAACATGTGG